CGCTTTCGCTACCATCTGTTACATCCTCCTCTTCATCATCGCTTTCTCTGCAATTCTGATATCTATGGTTTGAAGGATAAGACCCTGAAGAGTTAGAGGTAATATCACTCCCCTCAGATGAACATCGAGCCTGCCTCGACTTCAAAGGCTTTTCTTCAGGCTTCACCTCTTCTTTCTCCTCTTCAAAGGGCTCAATAGATTCTTCTACTACGATGTGTTCATATGTTTTGACCTTGGAGTCAAAAGTCACTCTCTTACGAGTTGGACTCGGACTATGCTTCTCCTCAGCCTTGTTACTGCATTTGAAAATAAGAATCAAGAAGTCAAAAAAACGAGGAACAAACAAAATCCACAGTTTTCTTTAGATTTATAACAACAACACTCACCAGATATCAGTGATCGGAATCACAGAAAATTTAGGGACTTCTTCAACAGTAAGAACCCTATCATCCTTAGCAGAACCCTCAGAGAATTTTGGGACTTTCTCAGAAGTAGGATCCCTAAGATTGAGATGAACATCCTTTGCAGACTCCTCAGAAACTTTTGGGACTTCCTTAACAATCATATGATCATTCTTTGTAGGCCCCTTAGAGATTCTCTACATACAACAAAAAAAAACCTTCTTCAGATCAAGCAAGCAAAAATTAAAGCTGAATTTGGCTGGATCCTGAGATTATAATCAACACTAAGAAAGATGTGAGCTTCAACTATAAAAATCAGTTTTTTATGAGACAAATTTCTCGGGAAAGAGAGAGAAAACTTACATTGAAACGAGGCTGAAAAGATTCCCTGCGTCTCTGACGACGGCGATTCTTCCGACGACCGAAACAACCCAAAAAGCAACCCATTCCTTACGGAATTTTCAAGCTCTTAGAGAGAGTGTGGAAGATATAGATTCCTTCGAGGGTTTTCTAGATTATTGATCGAACATTAATGGGTCGACATCGAAAAGATAGATTCCTTCGAAGGTTTTCTGAAGAAGAGCTGGAGAGAAGAAGCTTTACCCATGAATTTGGGGATTTAGG